TCAGTATCTCCTTTATTTTTATTACTCCTAGTTACCAATATTCATGTGTCTGTGTGGGAATATGTGCATCTGTGGAGGTGACTGAGGCCAGAGAGTGCCCTGGAGCTACAATGACAGGAGGTTGCAAGCCCCTCATGTGGGTGTGAGGAGCCAAATTCAGCTGGTTAGCAAGAACAGTATGTGCTCTTTTGTTGTTTGGTTTTTCAAGACAGGGTTTCTCTGGGTAGCTCTGACTGTCTTGGAACTCGCTCTGTAGACCAGGCTGACCTCAAACTTAGATCCGCCTGCCTCTGCCTCCCGGGTGCTGGGATAAAAGGTGTGCGCCACCGCCTGGGAAGCAGTAAGTGCTCTCAAATACTGAGTCATCTCTCCAGCCCGCCTTCCACTGTTCTCCAAAACAGTGAACAACCACTGGCAACAGGAGCAACCAGGCCAGGTTGGTGGTGCACATTTGTAACACTCAGGAAGCTGAGGCAGGAGAATTACCCCCAAGGCAAGTCTGGGCTACATAGAAAGTACCAGACTAGCCAGGAGATACAGCAACACTGTGTGTTAACATTCTCTTTGCATTGTATTATAAGTAGTCTAGAAATATTTCAAAGTATATGGGAGGATAAATGTGGGCTATAAACACATGCTATGTAGCTTTATATGAAGGTAGGGGGCATCTGTGGATTTTTGGTACATGAGGTCTCAGATTCTGAGGGCTGGTTGGAATGGACAGACCTAGGACAAAATCTTTACACAGACAGATTTCCCCTATGCTGTTTTTTTTTTTTTTTGGTTTTTCGAGACAGGGTTTCTCTGTGTAGCTTTGCGCCTTTTCCTGGAACTCACTTGGTAGCCCAGGCTGGCCTCGAACTCACAGAGATCTGCCTGGCTCTGCCTCCCGAGTGCTGGGATTAAAGGCGTGCGCCACCACCGCCCGGCCCCCTATGCTGTTTTATTTATATGGCATATGAAACAAAACCAAAAATACTCAAAAATTAAAACAAAAACTGTTGGCATTGTGCATACTTTTCCACCATGGAAATGAGAAACAGATAAAGAGAGAAATGGAAATGACTCCAGTTTCCAGTGGCCAGTCCGAATTATGGTCAAGACTAACAAATTCTACAATTGGTACAAATTTACAATCAAGGCTTCAAAAAAACCCAAAAGAACAAAAACAACCCCCGCCCCCTAAAAAAACTCCAAATGCTAGTTTGTGAGTATTCATGTTTAAAATGTGTTTTACAAAGACACAACTTAGAGCTCAGCTTAAAACATTATGCATGGAAAGGCTTCTCTTTGGATGCAGAAAAATACAAGTAAGGAAATCTATTAATTATTCACCATGGTCACACAATTTCCTACTTCTTTAGCCAGCACCCCTAGTTTTTCTGAAAGAACTTTGCCTTTCCCAGTGCTAATATCACGGAGAGGCAATTTTACCAGCTAAAAGAGCAATGAAAGTCTTGCATAATTAAGCATCATGAGAGAGAGTCGTGAGCCTTGACAGAAAGCCCAAATCCTGCCTTCTGACACGAAAGTTGTGGATGGGTGTTTCATGCCGGGAACCTGACTAAAGCCAGGCCCTAGATCTTCCAAGTCGGTGAAATCTGAGCCTGCCAGTTATCATGCAGTTCCATGTTCCTCTCCCCAACTCACTACAGTATACTAAGATCACCTTGTGGGCACCTGAAGTATATGCCCAGCCTAAGCTGTTGTGGGGAAGGGTCAGAATTATTAAAGGATGTTGGATGTTTAGCCTCCTCAGACCTACTTCTTCATCTCGGTGAGGTCAGTGGCATTCCAGGGTTTAACAGTGGAGCTGCAGCATCCTAACAGCCAGCAGGAAAAGAATTCCAGGACACAGAAAAAAATGTTTCCTTTTTTTCTTTAGCAACAATAAAGCAAACAGTATGATCCAAAGATAATTTTTAAAGTTTTAAATGCAAACACTCACAAATCTCTCTTTCCTTTCTGGTAAGATGTATGTTAAAACAGTGTTTTATTTTGTCATAAACTATCATTAAAGTATTATGTACACAAGAGAATTTTTTTCCTTTTCCTTTAGAGACAAGGAATGCTTCATGCTGCAGACCAGCCTGAGGCTGCCTAGAAAGGCACTAAATAGCCAGGTGGGATTTGAACTTTGAACTCTCTTCTAAGAGCTGAGATTACAGGTGTGAATCACCATGCTCACTTGTTACTCTGAGTTTAGTTTTTGAGACAGGATTCTTCTTGTGTTATCTTGGCTAGACTGGAACTCATGGAAATCGTTTCTCTGCCTCGAAAGTACTAGAACTGTGAACTTGCACCAACATACCCAGCTTACACAGGAATTTTAAAAGATAACTGGATTTCACCAGGTATGAAATATTAGCCTAGGTTATATAACAAGACCCTGTCTCAATAAAACAAAAAGAAAAACAACCCTAAAATTCTAACAAGTTATGTTTGTTTAAAAATACTCTCACATAAGGTAGACTGGAACTCATTATGTAGTCTATGCTGGCCTTGAATTCTTTTGCAGTTCCTGTTTCAATCTCCAGTGTTGGGATTACAGAGTCATCACAAAGAATGACCTCTCTGGCCTATGTGGTGCACAGACATACATGTAGGCTAAATACCCACACACATAATACAAAATAGTATATGCGTATGTGTGTATGTGTGTGCATTACACAGAAGTAATAGATCATTCTTCCAAAACGCAAATTCCCGTTGTTTGGGGACCACGGCACAGTGACAAAGGGTGGGGAGACACAGCACAAGGAGGTAAAGAGCCCAAGAAGCCGAGAGCCCAAGTCAGTCACATTCAAAGACTCTACAAAGGGAAATCTTAGTGGATGGAAAACAGTAAAGTAAGGAGCTGAGCAGAGCGGGCTCCTAAGCCCCAGAGGCAAAATGTTCTGAGCAACACAGACTACTCAGTCCAAGGAAGAATCCTGGGCAGGAGCCTGGAACACAAAAGGGTTTGTGTGGAAAAACTGGAGAAATCTTCATTATTTCTTATTATAACTTAGTAAATAAAATACATTTTTGTAACCGTAAAATCAATAGTATCAATACAGAACTTTATACAGCTTACAGCAGAGGGTGGTGGTGGGGTGCTGAGTAGCAAAGCGCTGCCAGCATCTACACAGCCCAGCTCCACAGAGACACAGTGTACACACTTTGTTTCCATTCATTAACCCAGCTGACTCCCAGATAACGTTGAGTCAAGTTCGCAACATTGATCAACTGGGTACCTTACAGCGAAGAGACATGCTACCTCTAACCCAGTCTCATCTCTATGTGAGTACAGAACACATCCCTAGACAAGCAATTGATAGACTAAATTTAGGTGCAAACACTACCTTTGGGACCTCGAGAGTACAGACTAGAATTACACAGGGAAAGAACAAAAATAAAAACCTGTCCCTTTAATCCCAGGGCTCGGGAGGCAGAGGCAGGCAGATCTCTGTGAGATCGAGGCCACCCTAGTCAACAGAGTGAGATCCAGGACAGCCAGGACTACACAGAGAAACTCTGTTTCAAAAAAACAAAACAAAACACAAAAAACAAAAAAAAAAACCCACAACAACAACAAAACCCTTGTCTAGTTAGAATAGGAGACATTTCTTCCAGCCAAATGTCTAGCCTCCTTCTCAGGGATCAGGGGTCCTCTGGGCATGCTCAGTAACTTGTGAAGAGCTTTCACCTTTTGGAAACACGAGGAGACAAAATGCAAATGAAAAGGGTATCTGTGAACTAAAATGATGTGCTTTCATCAGTGGGACCTGGACACGCTCCCACTGTGAGGAACACAATGATCCTTCAAGGCCCTATAAAGCTACTATAAAGTCTCCCTGAAAAGGCAGATCCAAACCTCTTCATTTGTAGCCCAAACTATGCATGGCTCAGAATGAGGAGCCACACACAGAGTCACAATTCTCAAAGATGATGGAATACTGGCAATTACATCTCCAGTTTAGGTTCCATCTGGTTAAAGCTCACACCCATGAAAATGTTAACAAAATCAGAAAATGACAACTCTGCAAATGCACCAACCAAATATGAAGAAATGAGCCACACCTATCCTGGATGGGGCCCTGCAATACCGTGTCTGGCAACCAAACAGAATGCCAGTATCCTTCCGGGAAAACTTGCGGGTTAATCGATAGAGTCCTTCTTAACAACAGCCCATAAACTATCAATATTTCTTCCCACTAGCTTTAGATTTAAAGGAGAGAAAAAAAGGCATACAATGAAAGCTTTTGGAACAAAGCCCATTTTTTGAACATGAGGTCTTACAATATCATCCAGGCTGGTCTCACACCCTAGCTTAGGCTCAAATGATCTGGTAGTTTCTGATGTATATACCTGGCTGAGCTGTATACTCAAAAAAAGTAAGTAAATTCATCTAGAAGGGTGACTTTTTCTTTTCTATAACATTTGTGTGTGGTGCATATGTGGGAGTCAGTTCTTAACTTCCACTATGTGGGACTCGGATCAAATTCAGGTTATCCAGCTAAGCCGCAAGTGCGCCATCTTGCTGGCCATTTTAATTCAATTAAAAAACAAAAACAAGCTGGGTGGTGGTGGCGCATGCCTTTAATCCCAGCACTCGAAGGCAGAGCCAGGTGGATCTCTGTGAGTTCGAGGCCAGCCTGGGCTACCAAGTGAGTTCCAGGAAAGGCGCAAAACTACACAGAGAAACCCTGTCTCAAAAAACCAAAAAAAATAAAAAAAGTCATTTACTCCAGAGTTACACCCAAATCCACAGTAGCACACAACTCTCACGCATATACACTACACTGATACCATGTTCTTGGATTACAAACTTCATTCCAACCTACATTTCTTCAAGGTCTTCAGACATACCAGTGAGGAAAGGGGAGGCTCCTCCTCATCTCCTTCCTAGAGAAACCTCCGATTCTCCATATCATTTTGGGCCTCTCTGATTTAGCTTACATGATAGGTCCTTATAGTCCTTACCTTCTTTTCTGAGGACGATCTAACTGCTTGGGCCCTTAAATACAAACCCATTCTTTGGGTAGAGTCCTGGCCTGGTCATTTGTGTGTACAAGTCCATCCTCGGTTGCATACTAAAATGCAAGTTAAAACAAACAGGATCAATAGATGGACAGCTTGTCACTGTGGATGTTATTTTAACTAAACAAATTTTAACAAAAATATATGACACGTAGACCCTAGGAAATAACACAAGCCACACACACTGACCTCAAGGCTTTATTTTATTACTTATCAAACTCTTTACTAGGTGGAAGTTACTTTGAATATATGGATTAAAAACGGACACAAAACCACTAGACCACAATTAAGGAGGATCAAATCCGATCTTTTTGTTTTTTGCATGTACATCTGTAGACCAGAAGAGGTCACTGGATCCCACAGATGGTTGTGAGCTGCCATGTGGGTGCTGGGAATTGAACTTGGAACCCCTGCAGAGCAGCCAGTGAGCCATCGCTGCAAACAGAATCTGATCTCCTAAGTTAACATGATAACTTCCTTCCGGTAGGACAGGATATCATGTATTTGAGCATCAATTACCTTGTCAGGCATTATACATTAACCTACAAACCCAGTGAATTTTAAATTGTTTTAAATTTGAAATAAACCACTGAAATAAATTCTCAGTTGGGTACTAAATAAAAATTTTTGTATGAGTCATCAAAAGACCCAAAGTCAGAATGTTGAGGAGGAAGCCAGTATTTATTGAAAACTCAAAGCCCTTGAAAGTAATGGCTAATGGAAAGAGCAAATGAGAAGTATTAAAGGTGTGTGAGGACTCCCTAGAACCACCAGGATAATTAATCCACCATCAAAGACACCAGAGCCTTCAATTTACTGGCCAAATTAACCCTCTCACTGCCGAATGCTTTCCAAGTATTTGCCTCCTTCAGAAATTCTACTCCCCATTTCTCTTCGGCATAGTCTCCTTCCTTCCTTTTATTCCTGACAGGGTTTTCTCCAGACCATAGACTAGACCCAAACCTCGCCAAACTCTGATCTTCTTGCCTCTACTCCCAAGTGCGGGGCTTCTGGACATGTGCCACCATGTTGGGTTTATGAGTTGTTGAGGCTGAAACCCAGGCTTCCTGCATGCTAAGCAAAAAGCTGCTTCACTGGTGGAGCTGGATGGCCACCCTGCTCTTGATACACCTGAGGCTAGTGCTAAGCCCAAGGGTGGCATTACAAGTGTGTGCCACCACAACCAGCTACAAGGTTGGGTGGCCACTCTGCACATCAGAATTTCTCCCTATTTAAAAACCCCATACTCTTGCTAGCTTTGTACCCCTACTCTCATAAGTAGGGAATTCACAAAGTGGGAATAGTTTATGAGAGAAATGTTACTGAAGTTAATGGGGAAATATATCTAAATTCTTTATTTAAAGAGCATGTTTTCCCCCCCTTTTCTTTCTTTTGTTTTTTCAAGACAGAGTCTCACCATGTAGCCCTAGCTGTTCTAGAACTTACTATGTAGACCAGGCTGGCCCCACAGAGATCTGCCTACCTCTGCCTCACAAGTGCAGGGATCAAAGGTGTGCGCCACCACATTCAACAAAGATAATGTATTTCTAAAATGACATTTGTCATTATGACACCAAGTTTTATATTCATTTAAAAGATAAAACTGGCCGGGCGGTGGTGGTGCATGCCTTTAATCCCAGCACTCGGGAGGCAGAGCCAGGCGGATCTCTGTGAGTTCGAGGCCAGCCTGGGCTACCAAGTGAGTCCCAGAGAGAGTCCTACACAGAGAGTCCTACACAGAGAAACCCTGTCTCGAAAAACCAAAAAAAAAAAAAAAAAAAAAAGAAAAAGAAAAAAAAAAGATAAAACTGGATACCACTGGCAAATTTCATTTATTCAACCAATTATTTCCTGGATATTTGCTTAATATATAAGCATATAAAATTAATCAGTAATTATAATCATACAAGATTAATCAGAAAGAACCAGAAATAAAAACATTAACAACAGTAACTGGCATGGTGATGCATGCCTTTAGTCTCAATATTTGGGAGACAGGCAGGTGGATCTGTGAATTCCAGGCCAGCCAGGGCTACATACTTAAATCCTGATGGAAAAGAGAGAAAAAGGATGGGGGTGGGGGGGGGGGGGGGGGGGAAGACTAGAGACAAAAGCAATAGAAAATGGCCAACAGCGATCCAGTACACTGTGGGTGAAGACAAGCAGACTGCACGAAAGGGACAGTTTAGGAGAAGTCATCTACAGACCTTACCACCCGGAACAAAGCCAAGGCAGGTAGGACCCCATAGGAACCAGCTCTTACCTCAAGAGCCAACAACAAATGGGGTGGCATGGACTTTTAAAAGACAGTGGAAATTGGGTCGGGTATAAAGATTTGTTTTTTTTTTTTTTTTTTTTTTTGGTTTTTCGAGACAGTGTTTCTCTGTGTAGCTTTGCGCCTTTCCTGGAACTCACTTGGTAGCCCAGGCTGGCCTTGAACTCACAGAGATCCACCGGCCTCTGCCTCCCGAGTGCTGGGATTAAAGGCGTGCGCCACCACCGCCCGGCGGGTATAAAGATTTGAATTCATGCCTCACAGCTTGAATTATTGAAGGCAGATATTGGAACTACGGGTTTGGATGACTGAGTCCCAAAGCAATCCTGATTCACTGATCCAGTTTATAGATTCTAAATCTTTAACAGGTGTGCCCTGCATGCCTATAAGCTCAGCATTTGGGAAGCAGAGCTGGGCAAGTTGAAGGCTAGCCTGATCTACATAGTGCTCCAAAGATCAGCTGAACTACATGAGTGTATCTTAAACTAATTTAATAAATAATAAAATAAAAATAAGTTCCAAACACTTCTAAACAAGAGCAGAATATCTAGAAGAAATAATGTAGCATCATTGTGCTTCTGATTATAGCAGATAATCCTAACTTTGAATGACTCTAGGAGTTCCTCAAGAGAATGTATCATTTTTGAAGCATGTCATTTAAATTTTAAATCTTTCTCATTTTTCATTTTGTACATATATGTGCATACACACAGGCATGCTTAAGCACACATGTACGTGCCACAGCACAGAGATGGAGGTCAGCGGACAACTCTCGAGAGTTGGTTTCCTCCACCATGAGGGCTCAGGTAGTCAGGCTTGACTGCAAGCATCATTACGATCTGGGCTATCTTGTCAGTCCGTGTCAGATTTGACATAAATCTAGAAACGATGCTAACTATGAGTTTGGGGAAATAAGTATCTATAATTGCCAACCATGGTACTTTTTACCTAAGATTAATTTTGCTTAATCTCATTATTAATGTATGTGTATGAAAGTAAATGAAATTGGTCACACCAAGCTAAACCATTAAGCCCAGCTGACCATTAAACTTGAAAATGCCTCAGAGTTCCTACAAAGGGAAAATACAAAAGTCAAAGTATTTTCTCCATAAAACTGAGTAACTTTTTCAATTCCCTTCTAGTAAAAACTATGTAATTTGTAGAGTGGCGGTGGTAGTACACACCTTTAGTCAGGAAGATCCTTGAGTTCAAGGCCAGCCTGGTCTACAGAGTGAGTTCCAGGACAGCCATGGCTACACAGAGAAACCCTGTCTCGAAAAGCCAAAAAACAAAACCACAAAACGGCTGTATAAAGAGAAAAAGGTGGACTGTAGGTAACCATTTAACACCCAGTCCTCCAGAGGCTGAATAATCATTTGAGAAGAGCACGAGCTACTGACCCATCAAGAACCGGGAGTTATTCTGGAAGAACATGCTAAGCCAGGAAGAAAAGGTGACTTCCTCCTCTCTGATAGAAAATAGTCTTTGAGACAATGATGAATAGGGTAGTGGACGGGGGCTATCTAACCAGACACGGTTTTACTTGAGACCACGCCCTCCAGAGTCATGGACCACGCTTGGGAAACACATCCTGGCAGTGGACTGGCCTCCACAGACCCAGCTCGCTCACACAGTGCTGTGCATGAGCAGGGCCATTCTGGAGTCGGCTAGTCTGAAAACTCGGGCTAATTTTAGCACTATGAGGAAAGATTTGCCCGTAGACCAGTAGACTACATGTTACTGGTTTGTAGACATGGTAGGAAGTGTACTGGACTTTAAGTAATCGAGTGACTTCAGGAAGGCATGAGGTTTGCTCAGATGAATGGGAAGGAACAGATTTTATTCACTGTTACACACCTGTTGCCAAGAAAAGCTTGTTCCTAAAGTCAGAAGACAGTGATGGACATAGGCAGCAGCAGAGATGGATGAGAGCAGTCAGCGGCAGCAGAATCAGGTCATCTCATGGAGGCCCAGCGCCCTTCTCCAGCCCAAGTACCCAACAAGTCTGTTAGCTGGGCTGTCTATTTATTTTCTTTTTCCAAGAAAAACAGAAGTTTTTCATTTTCATTTTTCACCAGTGCCATTAGAAGAGGTTTTCTGATTTTTAAATACTCAAGCTTGAAACTCCACATTTATATGTTTATTTTTATTTATTTTTTATTATTTGCAGTACTGGAGATTGAACAAGTACTCTACCACTAAGCTATATTCCTACCACTCCTTTTATTTATTTACAAATTTTAAAATTACTTGTACTTATTTTGTGTGTGTTTGGGAAGGTGCATATGTATGCTGTAGAATGTATGAAGTCACAGGACAACTTCCATGAGTGAATCGCAGGAATCAAAATTCAGGTCACAAGGTTCGGTGGTAAGGGCCTTCTTAAAAAAATAAAATAAAGTTAAGGTGGGTGTGGTGGTGCATGCTTTTAATCCCAGCACTTAGAAGGTCCCTGTGGGTTCGAGCCTGCTCTACACAGTGAGTTCCAGGACAGCCATAGCTACATAGTGAGACCCTATCTCAAGAAATGAAACAAAATTCTATTTTATGTGAATGAGTAATTTGCTTGCATGCATGTATATAAGTGCATGTGTGCATCCCTGATGGTTGTGGCCAGTCTTGTGGGTTCTGAGAACTGAACCAATGCCCTCTACAAGAGCAGTAAGCACTATTAGCAGGCCATCCATCTCTCAAGCCCCATTGTTTTGTTTATCTACTTACTTATTTTCATTTTTTGAGATAGTGTCCCACTTTGTGGCCCTGGCTGGCCTGGAACTCATAGACCAGCCTACCTTTTCCCGTGATTAAAGGCATGCACCACTATGCCCATCTTATTTTATTTTTTTAAGTCAAGGAATGAAGAGACAATTCCAAGGAAAATGCCCCTTAGCAACCCTGTTCTTCATGCACACACCTGTACTGCTCACCCTCATGAACTTTCCCATAGCACACAAGTTTTAAAAGCACAGACAGATTACAGGGAAAGAGGATTATGGGGCCAGAATTACGACAGCAGAGGAAAGCCCTAATCTTGTCAGGAGGATGACCTGGAGTTAGGTCCTCACCAGAGACCGGACCTACACGCTTCAACAAGCAAATCCATCAGCACAGGCACACATGTTTCAGAGAATCAGTTTCTTTCCTAGCTGCATTTTTTTTAGGCAGACCAATCTTAATAATAAGGGCCCTGAGGATTTTTCTTCTTCAAGCTACTGACCTGGTAACCTTGGAAGAAGTTAAGAATTTCCTTAACTCCAGTATTGTAGGCCAGGCCCTGCATTCTGACCACCGTGCCAGGCTGGGGCGGGACACTGCTAAGATTAGCAGCTGTAGGGAAGTAGCCAAGACTATTAGGCGAACCTGGGGGGCTAAAGGGAGAAAAAGCACAGTGAACCAGCAGGAACACACAATGTGGATATTTACTCTAAATATATTACTTAAGAAACTGATGTTTTGAAGGTGACGTTTCTTATGCTGCGATGAGGTACCTTTCCTAAGACGGTAAGATTGTCACAGAGGTTCTGCCTCGCGTTTCCACAGCAGCCAAGTGGAGAGGAAGGGGGGTTAATGCAGTGTTAGATGCAAAACTTTCCCGAACCTCTCAGGTTCTCAAAGGGAGAGAGAGGAAGAAGAACTAAGCCGTCTCAACCACTCCACCGCTTCCAAAGCCCAGATCATTGATGGTTAATGAGCCAGTTTTCAAGAATATTAAGGCGTGAAGAGGCATGGCTATATGGGACTAATAGGAACCACAGCCAGAGACCGAAAGTGTCAGAAGTGAACGGCCCCGAGAACCAACGGCTCCCCGTGTGCACAAGGAGACACGAAGCCCAAGAATGCCACAGCAGAGCAGATCACACCAGGGCCATTTCTGCCAGTGTGACTCTTTAAAAACAGGGGAGGGAAAGAGTTAGAAGGGGCACTTAACAAGCTGAGCTGATCACCATTGAAGCGAATGAGGCCTCCTGGCATTATCAGGAGCCATTTCCTCCCAGAAGCATAAGACCTGTCTGTGCCAGGCTCACGATGTACCTCTAGTGACCATTATTTTAGTCTCATTAATGAACTCACCAGTCAGCTTTATGAGAGTCCCACCGAATCTGCTCTCTACAATTGGAGTCCAGATCATTTCAATTTGAAATATGTATAGGAATATTTTTTAACCCAGTCATGAACTTAAGAAGCAATACTGACTCCAACTTTAGATCAGGAACCTCTAGTCATCTTCCCGTAGAAATAACTGTACCACTCCAGAGTAGCCCTCTACGTAATTCTGCCAAGTAGGTCAGCAGATGTGCCTCTAGCCCACAGATTATGTTAATTAGCTCAGAAACCATTCATTTGCTGTTTCACAGGGACAGTCAACACCTTCAGTTTCACAGCAGTGTTCTCAGAGTATGATTTAACACATCCAGTCTTAATCTTATGAATAAGATTGTGATATTCTCTTACTCTTATTATCATTTATTAAATATTAGAAAACAGCACTGGGCACCCCGCACTAAACCTGTAAGTCTCTAAATCGGTGACCTCAACTATGTGACAAATTTGAATTACCCAAGGAGAACTTCACACTTCTGAAGAGAGCCCACCTGTCCACCCATCCAAATTACAAATGCAAGACTCAAGAAAGCCAAATACCCCATGACTGTACCAGTAAGTAAAGCAACTCAAGTGATCTTAATGAAAACCAAGATTGAGATCACTGCTTAAGAGACTTGTGCAATCAACACTAGAATTAGGGTGTGTGCTGAATGGCTTCTAACGCTCTGGCCCCCCTAAAGCCAACACCTCCGAGTTTTTACAGAGGAGAGATAATTTCCTATAGAAAACATATCAGTTAGCACTTTGTCAAACGACAAAACCACACTAATCTCTCAAGTATAGTATTTTCTTCATATTTAACCAATATTCAGTGAGTATATCTTTTCATACCAAATATCTGATATAAATCTAATATACAAAGACCACATATTTCAATACAACTAGACTCTTCTATAAAAGATATGAGCCGGGCGGTGGTGGCGCACGCCTTTAATCCCAGCACTCGGGAGGCAGAGCCAGGCGGATCTCTGTGAGTTCAAGGCCAGCCTGGTCTCCAAAGCGAGTTCCAGGAAAGGCGCAAAGCTACATAGAGAAACCCTGTCTCGAAAAACCAAAAAAAAAAAAAAAAAAAGATATGAAAGTCTTGTCATGTCCCTAGCATATTTATTTTCATATACTGTCCTATCACATTTTATTGCTTTTGTCTGAAGATCTTCTATAAATTCAGTTTGGAGTCTTTGGCACCTTCAAAATATATTCAAGATGGAGGCAGATAAGGGGCCAGTGAGAGGCACAGCTTAGAGGGGAAAGGCACTTGCTGTCAAGTCTGATCCCTGGGACCCACGTGGTGGAGAGACCCCCACACACAAACACAGAATGAACATAGATATTAATTAGATACAGCAGGGATGCTGCCATTTTTTTTTTTTTTTTTTTCCAGACAGGGCTTCTCTGTGTAGCTCTGACTGTCGTAGAACTCACTCTGTAGACCAGGCTGAACTCGAACTCACAGAGATCCGCCTGCCTCAGCCTCCCTGCTGGGATTAAAGGCGTGCGCCACCACGGGCTTCGCAAACAAAAACCCAAGTAGTCACCATAAGGATTGACGGCTCAGTGGAGAAATGCACGGCTGCATAAACCATGTAACGTGAGTTCTGTCCTTGAAATCCACACAGAAACGGAAGGTGACAGCTGATCCCACAAAGTTGTCCTACAGCATGTGCGTCTGTGCGCACACTATTAGAAGAAATCTTTTAGGAAGCCCCAATTCAAAATTTAACATTATACAAGACAATTTATTCAGATCTTGAGGCAGCAATTATTCCAACGACCTACAACCCAACTTCAATTTCATCTCACTTCTTTCTTTCAGTTTTTCGATACAGAGTTTCTCTGTGTAGCCCTGGAAGTCTTATCATTTTCCTAGCATACTTATTTATATACATTATCCTATTGTATTTTATTGCTTTTGCCTAAAGATCTTCTATAAATTTGGAACTCACTCTGTAGACCAGGCTGGCCTTGAACTCACAGAGATAGCCTGCCTCTGCCTCCTGAGTGCTGGGATTAAAAGTGTGTGTGTGTTCCACAGCCACCCAGTTTCTAGTCTCATTTTTTAAAACTATAATTACCTATTAGATTCTAGAAGCCATAAGGAAACTTGAGGAACCTGTCTATCTCCTTGAGAGGGAAGAAATTTCTACAACCTAAAATCTGAATTCCAAGATTTTGCAGGGATTACTCAAATGAAGAGCAAAATGAACACATTTTAAAATAAAACTGTCAGAGGCAAACATGTAACTTTATATAGAAAATCAAAGGACAGTTACTAAAAAAACCTAATAGGACTAACAAGTTGGAACATGTTAAAGAACTCAACCATTAATTGCTTTTCCATATAAGACAACAAACATCACCACAATTAAAAACAATTCTATTTATAGAAACATCAAAAGGAACATTCCCAGGGGAAAACACACAGAAACACAGGAGTTGTACACTACGTATTCATAAAACTCATGCTCTAGGCCTGTTTCAAGTTGGAAGCAGGAGTACAAGTCATCCTCAGCTGCACAGCGAGTTCAAGGCCAGCCTGGGGTAGTCAGGGTGTTCCCCCAAAGAACCAACAAGCCAGGTTTATAAATAGAAGCTTGAGCTTTGTTAAGATTCTCCATTCCCTGAGTCGGGGAGATGTTTCAGCTGCTAAAAGCATCTGCTGTGCAAGCCTGATGACCTGTCCAGTTCCTGGAACACAGAAACCTGGATGCAGTGATGCACATCGCATATGATGAGATCAGAAGGGGAGATAGAAAAACTGGCTCCAAGCACGTCAGCCTGGGGTACACTGCCCAGCAGCTGAGATGAGGAGACCTAATTCAATAAAGTAGAAGGTGGAAACTAACTCCCAAGCCCTTAATATGTCAGGAGCATGGGTGCACCCATACAAAATTAATAAAAAAGAAAAAAGGGTTCTTCACCAACTTCAAAGTCATCATGAAAAATGCCCAGTATAATCCATACATTTTTAGTTAAGATCAAATGCAGTAAATAGCTGAGGCTGACTCCAAATTTGTAATCCTCCTGCCTCAACCTGAGTGTTAGGATTATGGGCATTATAAGTTTCAAGGTAGCTCAGTAGCAGAGAGTATGTTTAACTTGTATGAGAACTTCAGTGTGGTACCCAGTACCACAATTAAGAACAAAGGCAAGGGAGATTGCTTAAGAGGTAAGGTGTTTGCCCTGTGTGAGGATCTGAGTTCAAATCACAGGAACGCACGTAAACAGCTGGATGTGGGAGCGTATGCAGCTGTCTCAGTGGTGGTCATATAGGAAATGAAGACAGATGGGTCTCTGGAAGCTTGAAGTCTAACTAGATTTGCCTCACAAAAAGGTAGAAGGTACCAAGACTGCCCTTAACCTCTACATGTGCTCGGGGCACACATACACATTTATTTCTTTTTGGTTTTTTAAGACAGGGTTTCTCTGTGTAGCCCAGGCTGGCCTCAACCTCACAGAGATCTGCCTGCCTCTGCCTCCTGAGTGCTGGGATTAAAGGCATGTGACACCACTGCCCAGCCACGTACAAATTTATTATACACTAAAACAAAGAAATAAAACTAATAAACACAAAGTTCAGCTTGTTAAGTGGTTATGGAACAACAAAATTTAGACTCCCTATCTGAAATCCTACAAAAAAATAACTCAAATTGATGTGCCTGTCAAAATGGCTTAATCCCAATAACTCATTTCCAGCCGACACACACAGATGCCTGTACTCCCACACCATACAGAGACCCACTAATAAATTTAAAAAAATTAAAGGTGAACTCAAATTGAGTCCTTTATCTAAATATGAAAGCTTAAAATATAAAAACTCAAGGAAAGTACATCAAGCTTTTGTACCTATACTTAGATTTGACACCAGAAGTGGAGTTCAGAAAGGTAGAAATGATGCACACACACACACACACACACACACCCCTTTATATGTATCTCAAAACAAGTAACAATCAAAGGGCTGAGAAGATACATTATCAATAAGATGCTTGCCATCAAGCAAGAGGATGGAGTTCAACCACCAACACCCACATAATAAGACACACGTGCTAGTATTAGTTGCATCTGTAATCCCAGTACAGGGGAGGCAGACAGGTGGCTTCCTGGAGCTTGCCAGCCAGTCAACCCAGCTGAACTGGCAAGCTCAGGTTTGCTGAGAGACCCTGTTTCAAAAATACAAGGTGAAGGTGAGGAAGACCCAACACTGATCTCTGGCCTTCACATGCACAAAAGTACACACATGCACACACACCCACACATGGCGATGGGATGGAGGTGGGAGTCTGGATCCACACAAAAATGTAAACTCAAATCTTTACTGTTGCCTAGTATATATTAGGAGTGTGACATCTTTTACTATCATAATAAAGATGTTTTTACATAAGATTAGATATAATATAGAGAATGTAAGGAGCTCAAGCACCAAGTTCTCAAACTATGCTTCAACTACTAACATAAAGCAAGACTGCCAGGAGCTTTTGAGGGTTGAGATTTTCACGTCTCAGTGGATCAGTTCTCACTCACGCTTGGAATGAATGATTTAAGTTCTACAGAATGTTAAACACTTGACAGCACTGGGAAAGAACGAAATGAGCACCAAGGGCGATGTCAGGATCACACTGAACTCCAGGCTCTTCCCATGGTGAGTTCGGGCCTCGTAAAAGAAGCTGGCCAAGAGACCGCGCTTGAACTGGGTGACGGTCCTGGGGGAGAGGCCTGAGAGAGGGATGGGAGGAAGAGGACGAGGACAACAAGGCTCTCAGAGCTGTGGAAACCATCGCAGCACCACGACTGTGAAGACAGGTCAGTGGGACGCTACCACGGCTCCCTCTGTGCAAGGTGCCCCAAGAGCACGAACCACAGCGTCTCTCCTCCTCAGAAGTGGACAGAGGTGAATGCAGAAACTCACAACTGGTCAAGATGCAGAGTCGAGTGCGCAACCGCGAAGGGGATATCTCTAACACACCCTCCCCCAAGGCTCAGGGACCATCACAGAAGGGAGGGCAGGGGACAGGAACAAACCCTGCCTTCCGCCCACGACTGGCCAATCTCCACTCAAACACAAAATTTATGTACCAATTTAAATACATGTGTTTGGTAGACAAAGGAAAAGAAAGAATGGGATCATGCTCTGTACCCAATTGTTTCCATTGTCTCAAGGGCCTTATTGTCACAACAGATTACTAGTTAATGTTGGTGTACCTCAAGTACTTAAGTATTTTTTTGTTTTTTGAAACAGGGTCTCTGTAGCCATGCTAATCTAATCTAGAACTCGTGGTAATCCTCATGCCTCAACCTTTCAAGGTGCTAGGATTAAAGGTGTGAGCTACCATACTTGGCAAATAAACTCGTTATTTTTTTAAAAAAATTACTTTGAAATTTATTTAAATTCAATAAAGAACTTCCCCATGTATATGCAAGTTCTTTCACAAAGGGGCCTGATCAGCGAACTCTGGTCACTGATCTTGGTGGCAAACGCCTTGACCTGCGGAGATATCTCCCTGGTCCAAATATTTTGTTCTTAAATTTTAGTTTTAAATGACTCCAGGCTGACTGCTCAGTGATAAGAGTATTTACCCTGCTTGTATAAAGGCCTTAAGGCTCAAACACGGTACAGGGTGGGAACCGGAGAGATTTTACAACATGAAAATAAATACCCCATGTTTTAGTAAGTTTATGTGTTTGTGTAGGTAATACCACTCGAATTAGGGAAAGTAAATTAATAAACACATTAAGAGTTAATCCAGGGCTGGAGAGACGGCTCTGTGGTAAGAGTGTGTAGTGTTCTTCCAGAGGACCCAAAGCTTGGTTCTCATGCCCATCACCAGGTGGCTCACAACTACCTGTAACTCTATGCACATATGCATAAATGAAAATTATTATATAAATTATATATTACATATACAAAAATAAAAATGCTGGTTGTTTTATGTCAACTTGACACAAGCTAGAGTTATCTGAAAGGAACCTCAATTGTGAAAATGACTCCATAAGATCCAATTGTGGGCCGGGCGGTGGTGGCGCACGCCTTTAATCCCAGCACTCGGGAGGCAGAGCCAGGTGGATCTCTGTGAGTTCGAGGCCAGCCTGGTCTCCAAAGTGAGTTCCAGGAAAGGCGCAAAGCTACACAGAGAAACCCTGTCTCGAAAAACAAAAACAAAAAAAAAAACAAAACAAAACAAAAAAAAAAAGATCCAATTGTGGGATATTTTCTTAGTGATTGATGAGGGAAGGCCCAGTCCATGGGGGGTGGTGCCGTCCCTGGGCTGGTGGTCCTGGGTTCTATAAGAAAGTAGGCTGAGCAAGCCATGAGGAGCAAGCCAGTAAGCAGCACCCCTCCATGGCCTCTGCATCAATCAGCTCCTGCCTCCAGAATCCTGCCATTTGAGTTCCTGTCCTGACTTCCTTCGATGACAAACAGGGATATGGAAGTGTGAGTCAAATAAACCCTTTTTTCCCCAAGCTGCTTTTTGGTCATGGTGTTTTATCACTGCAATAGAAACCCTAAGATATATACATACATATATACGTGTGTGTGTGTGTGTGTGTGTGTGTGTGTGTGTGTGTATCAATCCAGAAGCAACAAGATAGATAAATCTAAAGCATGGATCTTCAATTCAGAATTTTCATGTCTGAATCCTCCTATAGAAGTTAAGTATTAAAGATGAACTTTGGGATACAAAAAAAATTATAAGCTTTATTGTTTAAAAATAAACTGCTATATTATATGGGTGTGTATATGTGTGTGTGTATCCCCCCAGGACAGGGTTTCTCTGTGTAGCCCTGGCTGTCCTGGAGCTCACTTTGTAGACCAAGCTGGTGGTTACAAACTCAGATTCCCTGCCTCTGCCTCCCTACTGATAGGATTAAAGGCATGAGTCATCATGACAGGCTTGTTTGATTTTTTTAGATGTAGGTACTTCCTCCTCTATAGCCCTGGCTGACCTGGAACTCACTAAGTAGATGAGGCTGGCCTTCAAATCAGAGATTTGCCTGCCTTGAGTGCTAAGATTAAAAGTGTGCACCACCATACCTGACATCTGACTAGCTTTTAAAAAAGAAGCATGTACATATTTAGAAACATGCATGGGGGCTGGAGAGATGGTTCAGAGGTTAAGAGCACTGGCTGCTCTTCTAGAGGTCCTTAGTTCAATTCCCAGCAACTACATGGTGGCTCACAACCATCTATAATGAGATCTGGTGCCTTCTTCTGGTGTGAAGGCATACATGCAGGCAAAACCCTGTATACACAATAAATAAACCTTTTTTTTTTTTTTTAAAAAAAAAGGAAATACACACATGTATTTTTTTAAACTAATAATGACACTTTTGGGCTAGGCAGTATTCAAGATGAAAGTCTTTTACTCATTATACATCTATACTCTTAGACTTAATGATGAGTATATCCAAAATTTTAGAACTACTAGGTGAAAAAAGACGTATTCATCCAAAGTCATAGTCCCAAACTTAGAGAAATGATTAACCATACATGTTAGTTCTTCTCATCTTTGGCATTTCAATTCAATACTCATGGTCATTTCTAAGAGAGTCCTTCTTACAATAAGGCCCAGGCAGTGAGTCAGTAATGGAGGTGACTACGGACACATACTAGAGGCAGAAGAACTACATTAGGGGCTCATCATCTTTTAGTCCTGACATTTAGAAGACATAAAGAGGCAGACAAAGAGTGTCCTGATACAAGAGCCCACCAACAATAAGCATTCATACGGGGTCTAGAGGTCAGCTCACCTCAGCACTCACGGAGTCAAATGTACTGCCTTCCACACACTAGGTGAGCACTTTACCATGAACTCCGCACCCCACCCTACCCCACCCCAGCCCCTTTGGAGCCATTCTAAGCTATTAAAGGACAACTTCCTGGTAACCATCACGGCTTTAACCCCATTCTTACTCCCCAGCAGATTCTCAAAGCGCCTAATCAACAAGTGTGGTTAACTGGTTCTACTGTGAGACCCCAGCCTTCACCAATTACATCATTTGGTAAGATGCAAGCAACGAACTTTTGTTCCACCCCTGGGACCACACAGTGGAGTCTCCAAGTTGTTCTAACTTTCTCCTGTGCACACTGTCATGTGTGTGCGCATGCGTAATTTTAAAGAAATATAAATTTGGTATGGTAGCACACACCTGTAATCCCAGCACTTGGGAGGCAGAAGCAAGAGGATTACTGACAATTTGAGGATAGTGTAGACAACAAGGGGTACAAAGTGAGACCCTGTCCTTAAAAAATAGAGGGAGGAGAAGATAGAAGGAAAAACAAGCACATGATAAGACGCACTGACATTAAGACAAGGCTCCCAACTCCCCAGCGCACACCCTCTCTGTTATACAGTTCCACCTCCCAGAAACTGGCTGCAACGGAAATGAAGTAAAGACATAACATACGCGGACCCTAGGAAACACTGAATAATTTCAACCTGGATTTGTTTATAGTATTTATTTAAGGAGCAAAGAATACAAGCGCCGGGAAATTTAAAGCAACTATTATTTATTACGAGCTGACATTCAAGCTAAAAAAAAAAATACAATTGTTCCCATTATGAATTATTCTGTTTTGTGATTCAACTCCATGTTGTTACCACCTGATCCTAAGGAACAGTTACCCACTTGCAGTCCAGTAACAGGAGGTGGAAGGGAGAGCTGAGCTCATGGTCAGTCTAAAGACTATTCTAGTTACATATCGCAAAATACATAATAAACTCCAGTCTGTCTTAAAACGACCTATTGGTCAGAGATATGACCAGAAGCTGTGGTCCGCCATGCTAACCTTCAACGAGAGAGACAATATTCTTTTGTGAGCTCACACACTGGTTCTCAAAGGAGTCCTTTGTTTCTGTCCCTTGCTGTCACTTCCTGTATAACCTTACCTGGGATAGTACGCTGTGTAGTTCATGAAGAGCTGAGTGCCTGCTGGGTAGTATGCGGTGGAGGGCTGCAGCGCCCGTGGACTGAAGAGCAGAGACGGCTGATAAATGGCAGCTTCAGTAGGAATCACTGCTGTGGGAGCTGGGAATGTGTAGGAGGGAGGAGACAGGCCTAAATAAGCAAAGAGAGAGACTCTGAGCCACGTTTGCGACAGCTACCACGGTTGTTAGCACTCACGCCACTTACTCTTCCCCATCTACATATTTTATAAACATTATTTTTATGTGTCTATGTATACACCTGTGTGCGTTAATGTGCAACACGTGCAGGCAAGAGCCTTTGGAAGCCCAAGAGGGTGTTAAGGGAAGCTGTGAGCTGCCATGTGTGTGCTGAGAACCAAAACCAGGTCCTCTGCAAGAACAGAAAATGCTCATAACTACTGAGTCATCACCCTACCTCAGCTACGTATTTTCTTTTCTTTTATTTTTTTAAAGATTTATTTATTTATTATGTATACAGTGTTTTGCTTGCATGTATGACTGCAGGTCAGAAGAGGGCACCAGATCTCATTACAGATGGTTGTGAGCCACCATGTAGTTGCTGAGAATTGAACTCAGGACCTCTGGAAGAGCAGTCAGTGCTCTTAACCTCTGAGCCATCTCTCCAGCCCCTCAGCTATGTATTTTAAATGAAAAAAAAAAAAAACCCATCACAGTTCTTTACATCCCAAGCAACTTCCTTCTGATTTTATGGATTTTTTTACCCTTTAGTAGGACACAAAATCAAGGCTATGAGGCTGAAATGCTGCACCATGCACTGTGCCAAAGCACATGTGTCTCAGGAACCGTTCCCAGGGACTAGATAAACGATACATTATGTTCATCCAAAAGCAATCCAAAAACACAGGCTTTGAAGCTCATCTACACCTTCAGACGTATACAAAAAGTCCAAGTAGGCAACAGCCCAGAGGAAATAGATATATAATGCTTTCCCCAAACCAGCTGATAAAAAACTGGCTTAGCTGGGCTTGGTGGTGCATACCTATACTGCCAACACTCAAGAGGCAGAGGCTGCGGTTATCGTCATGACTGAGACCAGTCTCCTCTACATAGCACGTTTCAACCCAGCTAACGGGGCTACATCACGAGAGTGTGACTCAAAAAAAAACAAAAACAAAAACAAAAAACAATGAAACCAAACTAAACCAAACGAACCAAACCCCACATGTACAAAAGGTATCTCAAATTTTGAATAAATGAAATCTAGGGGCTGAGGGTATAGTTAAGTGGAGTGCATGCTTGGCCTGGGTTAGGCCCTGGGTTCAATCCCTAGCACCATGGGAGGATGGAGAGGAAATTCCTGTATCTTCTAGCTATCCTGCATTTTCTTTGATCTGAAACTCCCTAAAACTGGAGCTGGTCATGATCACTAGCTTTCCAAGTAGCATGAATACACTAGACAGACCATATGCACTGACTGGAATATGGATAACTAAGCTGACAGAATCTGGGGTCCCTGACTTTAAGCAGCACACTGAGATCCATTAGATTCTGTAAGTAGCAGATTCCCAAGGAATAACTTTCACACACAAGTCTCTAGGATAACTTCTGGTTTTCTTTGTTCTTGGTAGTTTCTCTTTCATTATGAAGAGCATGGTGGGCAGTTATTACCATGGATTTCTGGTTCAACATCTAAGTAAGTATGTGTGTATATACTTATCTATTACAGTGCCATGGGCCCAGCCCAGGGGTTTGTGCATGTTAGGTAAGCATGCAACCACTGCACTACATAAACAGCCCTTGAATGTTTGAGACAGTCTCATCATATAGCACAGGACAGCCTCGAACTCATAACTTATTCAGCCTCCCTAGTGGTGGGATTCACATGTGTACAATCACACTTGGCAGTGATTAAAAACTCTGCTAATGTTAAGCAATGAAAAACCTTTAAATTATGTTGTTAGGCCTTCACGATTACAGAATGCCGACACTGTCAACTGAGAAGAATGGACCAGGCACATAGGTGGCTCAGTGGTGGAGCATGAGAAGGCTCTAGGTTCAGTCCTCAGCCATCACACACACAAAGCCCCCAAGATCTCAAGCATGACAAAATTATGTAGCCTGTGCTCATAACTTGCTTGTAAAATCATCAAGAAACTCATTACGTACATACATGTTACGTGCCATTAACAGGTGTTGGGCCTATAGCTCAGTGGTAGTGTACTTGTCTAGAGTGATCAGGACCTTGAGTTTGATCTCCAACAACACAAAAAAGGAAAAAAAAAGGTACATATTCTGTTTCAAAACAAAGAAAAGTAAAATAAAAACAGACAAGACACGAGAAGATCTGGGCATTCCTCAAGTGGAAGTACGGCTATTTCTTATTTTCCTAAAAGAGAAACCAGGCGTATCTATGTATGGGGTATAAAAATAAAGTTGACTGTGAAATGGACTTTTTCTTTTTTTTTTTTTTTTGACATTTGGCTGCCCTGAGACTAGCTATGTAGACCAGGTGAGTCTTGAACTCTCACCTGCCTGTGCCTCCCTGTTGGCCTCAAAGGTGTGCACCACCTTGTCCAGCTTAAGCTGACTTCTTAGTGAGTTAAAGTGCCATACTGTAATATATTAAGACTATAGCAGGGGCTGGAGAGATGGCTCAGAGGTTAAGAGCACTGGCTGCTCTTCTAGAGGTCCCGAGTTCAATTCCCAGCAACTACATGGTGGCTCACAACCATCTGTAATGAGATCTGGTTCCCTCTTCTGGCTTGCAGGCATACATGCAGGCAGAACACTGCATACATAATAAATAGATCTTTAAAAAAAAAAAAAAGATTATACCAACATTTCTCTAAATTCATCAAGAAAATCTTCCATGGGAAGTATCAGCCCCATCAGCAAATTGCTTTAAGTCTTTGAGAGTATATAAAAGAGCAGGCTATTTCTTTAAGTCTTGTGGTTGTGATATAATGAGTAGTCACCTGAAGTTTGTGGCACAGATGGGCAGAATACAAACAAATACATACTGAACTTCTGATTTTTGGGTTTTTTTTGAGACAGGGTTTCTCTGTGTAGTTTTGAGCCTTTCATGAACTCACTCTGAAGCCCAGGCTGGCCTTGAACTCACAGAGATCCACCTGCCTCTGCCTCCCGAGTGCTGGGACTAAAGGTATATGCCATTATTCACCCAGCTGCAGAAATATATTCTTAAAAAATTGTTTGTAAAGACTAGGTCTTCAGAAATATAATTTTTTATGAATACAGATTTAAAATTTCTCCTTTGCTGGGTGAGAACCATGGCTGAGACCTACAGTCCTAGTAGTACCCAGGAGGAGGAGGTGGGGAGTCACTGAGCTTCGGGGTCACATGACTACATTTTGAGCTCTAGGCCAGCCTAGTCTCAAAACTTGATTCTACAAGAAACTGCACAAGAAACAATGGGCAAATTTGCTTCATGACATCTGACGGATCGTCACTAAGGGATATTATGCTAAATGGTACTGACATCAACAGTGATTTACAGACAGAAGACATTCAAGTATTACCCTAAAGTATTTTTTTTACACTTAGTAATAAATTTCTAAAACCTTGTATCTCATGAGCAATAAACTATTAGATATTCACCAACAGCAAGCAGCAGGTAAATGAAATTATTAGAGTTCAGGAATTCCAAGGGGAAAAAAAAGGATTAAGCCCCACCAAACACTCTACAAACAATACTTAATTAAACAAGTTAATTGACATAGATCCCTCTTTGCCTCAAAATAACTCAATGCCTAATAGACTGCCATTTTAATAGAATCAAGCAGATCAACCCAGTGTACTTTTCCAGTTATCTCTGAACTCTATCCCAAGTTCTTTAAACATATCCAACATGTTATGTGAACTTAAATATATGTGAACTTAAATGTTAAAACTGCATTTTTCAAAAAAGGCTCATGTTTTAACATCAGGTTTCCAAATGCTCCTTAGCCATTAACTAGAACTTGCTTCTAGACTACGGGGCTTATTCCTCTCAAACAGGATTCCAGATCGCTTGCACCCAGTTGCCAATGAGCAAGAGCACAGCTTGGAATTAAGCACTGATCCTGTGATCCAATCAAATATTGGCTAAGTCAATTACGCATTTATATATAAACGTAGTTTACTAACTTGCTCATTCCAGATATCCTGGAGAGCAACAGGAATGCTCTCCAGGTTATCATTCTGAAGACACAGTAGATGCTCAAAACAGTTAAGAATCCAAAATGGGCATCAAATCACCCTTCTTAAAGTTTAACATGTAGAAGAACAATGAGTGAGTAAAAAATAAACGAAGACAGAAAGGAAAGGATCCAGCCAGATGTACCTTTTACCTTTAAATGCGTATTAATTTATCTACATAGCCAGGTTGCCTCCCAGAGTCAGTGCTTATCTGGAGCACACTAAGCCTCAGAAACCCAATGCTTATCACTGGAAAAGCAAGAATATAATTTGAAAGGAGGTGTCTGTAGCATCTCTAATTATGGGTGTCCACAACCAAGGTCTTAACTGATTACCAGATACTAGTGATTTCAGATGGGAAAGGCTTTTGTAACCACCTCGCCTGCCTCAGAAAGAACCAGGGCACAGAAAGCAGCTTAAGCACCTACCAGCACACAGCGTAGAAGAGCGCCAAGACCCAAGAAAAACTTACATGGTAACTTACATGGCGGTGGGGATAAGCCATTTCGATTTAAAGTGCCCCCCATTAACACAAAGTTCATCTCCTCAGCTGAACACTGAAAGACTTCAACGTATCTGTCCTTCATGGTTTTTTTATGATACTTCTGTGCAGCCATGAACGCTCTGTCTGCAGACTTCATCTGGATAAAGGCATCTCCTGACGGGCGTCCCTGAGTGTATGAGGAAGAAGAGAAACAAAAGGAGACTGTCTCCTTCAACAAGGAAATAAATGGTCGCCTACAAAGCATGCAAGGTGACAATCACCCGTAGTATAAGACATGTTTAGCCACAAAATCTGGGTGACAGTGTGATCCACTGAAATCTGATTTGGATTTCATTCCCTAATCACCAGAATGGCCCACAAAATCTTGAAGAAAAAGTTCTGAGAGATCATGGCTGAAAGTGATCCCTTTTGGTTCCTATTAAGTTAGTATCAAATTTACAGTACTTTAAAAGGTCTCGTTGTGACTGTAGTTTCAAAATATAGGATTATAAATTGGATTTTTTTCCTCTCCTGAAAAATCCGATTAAATACCATTTGATGAGAAAAGCTAGTAATATATCCTCCTTCAGGAAACTAAATAAGCCTGTGTTGTCCTCTGGCTCTCTGTTGGTTCCTCTCTGACCTGCTACATCCTTTTAGCTTGTCGCTCACCCCTGGAAGATTAGGTTGGAATGCATCTTAAGGGTAAGTAACAGGGAGTTGCAAGGTATGACGCTAAGCATCCAGATGCTATCTGCCATTCCGAGAAGCTATTCTCTCCCACATGCTCCCACTCTCTCCCAACTGCTCACAGAAGTATTCAGGGGCAGCTTTTGTTAGCTAAACTTCCCCTCTGGAAAAGCAAGCCCCTAAGTCTGTGTTGCATACAAGTAGAACACCTTGGTAATATCTTTACATGAACAACATTGGAGAGGAAAAATGAACCAGTTTATAGGACTATTTTTAAAGTTAGTTCTCCAAGTCTTCTAGGGAACATTTATAATATTATACCGTTTCACAAATGATTACCATGCAAGTTACCATAATAGTCACCATACCAGGGAAATTAGCAACACACCAGTCCATGATAGAAACCAACATTTTCCAGGCAGATAAGAGCTTGGTCATCATCAGAGGAGCATTTTCTCCCAGGTCACGGAGGTCAAAGGAGAGGCAACCCTATCTACTGTTGTTAATCAAAGGGTAATGGGCCCGAGGTTATTAGAAACAGTGACTTGAAAGGAGTAACTCCCTAGTGCTGCTGAAGAGTGGGGAGTTCTATTTCAAAGGCTTCCTAACAGTGAAGCGTGCTCGGAGTGGTCAGATGAAAAGGGTGTGGCTCACACAGATTCAAGTGTTAGATGAACACACGTGGTGTAGACTGTGCATGGGCTCAGGAGCTTGGACTACCTGTGCCGAGAAGTGGAAGGTAGTTACAAAAGTGAACAAACTCCAAGTGGGAAGTGGGAAGCTAGCAGTCAGAAAAAATTAGTATTTCCACTCCAGGTCTGTAGTCAATCCATGAACACTCTGAGAAAACGACTGTTTTCCAAAGTTAAATTCTTTGCTTTTAACAGAGTTCCTGAGTTTTAAACTAGTGCTACATGGCCTGAGTATTTGGAATGTTGTCCTGCTTAAGACAGCACAAAATACCTAAGAGGATTAATTCTGTTTCACCAAACCTGAAGTAGCACCAAGCAAGGAAGTAAATACATCGGGCATATGGAAAGAATTCAGTCAGCCTTTTATAGAAAAGCTTTGCAACTATTCTTTGATGCAGCTGAGACTAATATCCACACATGGCTACGGAGTGCAACTCTCCAGGTCCTCATTCACCTGAACGTAAATGGATGTCTAACACATATCTAAAAAGAATCTGAAGTAAGTCCTGTGTACCGTCTGTGGATATGAAGCACTTCAGAACGTGGGTATGTAAGCTCTTTGCTTACATTTGGACTGTGACTACTCTCACATCAAAACAGACGAGTTGCAAGTTCAGTAGCTACAACAGGAAAACGCTGCATACACTCATAATATACTGCTGATAATGGGACAGCTTTCTGCAATGAAGGAAACAGAGCTGAATTTCAACTATCACACTAATAGCAGGCTAGTTTTTGGAGTATATCCTAAAGGTTTCTTATACGTACAGCCAAATCTTTTCTTAAAGACAATGTAAAACTTTGGACTATTTATTGTACTCTTCCTAGAGGGGGAACCTTGACCACCAGAAAGAATGGGCAAACACATTTTTCAATAATCAACTTCCTTACCTGGTGATTCAATACCATGTGAACCCCATGCGTACGAATATCTGTGGAAAACTCCCCCAGGAAGTCCAGAATGTCCTCTACTGTGGCAGCATAGGGAAGACCTCGCAGACGTATACAGTCTCTTACATTTGTGGGGGGCACAAATTGCTGAGGTAGTACTGGGATAATGGGAGGGGTTGGAAGTGGAATCAGAGGCGTTGAGGAGAATCGGTTCAGCACCTATATACAAGACAAAACACAAGTGACTTCAGTCTTGCTGCTCCTATGTGTCCTATAAAGCACCACCAGTGTCACCAGGAATCCTGTTAAATCCAGGATCTAGTGAGACACAGCTGTGGCGCACACTTGAGCATGGAGGAGACCATAAGTCGAATCCTCGAGGGGTAGGGATATGCTGGGGCATACTCATGGCTCTACTACACAACTACCACAAAATATCACTGGTTCTCAGGATCCTTGGGGGATATGTAAGTGCAAAGAAGTTTGAGAAGCCCTGATGAAGGGCTCATGCATTTCTTCTGGGAAAATGTGATGTCCACTTCTATCAAATACATGGTAGTACAGGCCTGCAATCCCAGCCCTCAGGATGCAGATACAAGACGGCTGTCCATTAATTTAAGGCTGGTCTGCTGTATAGAGTGAGTTTTAGGTCAACCAGGGCTACATAATGAGACCCCGTCTTTACAATAAAAGCACACACTCCATATAATACTATGTACTTGTTAGGCAGTGTCTATCTGGGCTAATGTATTTAAAAATCTAAGCATACTGCTAGATGTGGACTTTTGTGGTCATTTTATTCTTCAACTTCATTTCACTAAGTACATTTCACATAGTGTTCCCTTAGTATTATCTTCACAGTCCAACTCTAAACTCAAAAATGGCCTCAGGTACCACCATGCCAGTTTTTAAATATTTTTTTATTAATTTCTTTCTTGTGTCTATGTAATTTCTATTTAGGAACTTACTTAATATATGAATGCATACTTCAACTTAATAAAATAAAAATTTAATGCAAAGGTCCCAGGAGACCCCATGACACCGACCTGCTGAACTTCTGCCGCCGTGCTCCTGAAGAGCTCGATGTATCTTTTACCCAGCAAGTCCTTATGCTTCCGCAGGGCGTTCTGAGCATATTCCTCACAAGCAAAGAGCACAAAAGCATCTCCTGTCGGTCTGCCATCTGGATAGGTGACGAAGAGGATGCCTTCCTTTCCTCCAGTGATGGGGCAATGCTGTCCGAAGAAGGCTACCACCTCTTCCGCTGTAGCTGTGAAAGGCAGTCCCCGCATGCGGACAATGACTTGATTTTCCTTGGAGAGGAACTGGGCTACCTCATTGGACGTCCCTAGAGAAAATGAGTATTAGAAAACACAAGGAGAGAGTTAAGATATCTATATAACAAAATTGGATAAATGATAAAACTCCCAACAGCATGCTTATGTTGCAGGGAATCAAACCCAGCACCTTACCCTATCAGGCATGCGCTCTACTACCGAGCCACATCCAAGGCCCTTCTGGCAATGTTCTGAATCTATAGTGAAGATCCACGCCACCAGTGGATTTTTTTTTTTTTTTTTTTTTTTTTGGTTTTTCAAGACAGGGTTTCTCTGTGTAGTTTTGGTGCCTGTCCTGGAACTCACTCTGTAAAATAGGCTGGCCTCAAACTCAGCTTACCACTGGATTCTTAACAATAATATCCTAGGACTCAGAATTCCCTTCCTGCGAATTTGAAACTCTTCCCAGAGACTTTTCTAAAGTGCCCCTCTTAACTTAGGAAGCTGGCCAGCCAAATCGGAGTGTCTACCCATTCTTCTCACAGGCAGTAAAACCATCATGGTACTTACAGACAGGTCCTCGGTCGGGATCAAGTTCAGTGCTAGTTTTTTCCTAATGAGTTCAACGTTCAACAAAAGGCACAAATCCTAGATCCAGAATACCTAGGTCTCCTCTAAGCTATCCTGTCTACTAGAACAGACTTTATTCAAGCTTAACATCTATGTCTTAGTTCCCACATCTGCTAAATGAACAACTTCATAAACTATGAGAATGAGCTCGGTTAATAAAGCACATTGTGTCTATAATTTCTTCATTACCTTTAATTAAGAAACTTTTATAGAGAATAACGAAAACACATGCACAGTTCTAATATTTACCATAGCATTTGTATACCCCTGCATGGGGCAGGCACCGACAGGCACATCTGCAGACTCCCACCAACACCACTTTCTTCAACAGACAATGCTTATCACACCATGCCCAGACAATGAAATCCAGTTAACTCGCTGTCCCAGTCTGCAATGTGCTTGCCGTCAGAGTCTAGGGCACAGGAAGAACCTAGCCACTCCAAACACATCAGCTACTCCCAGTTAATCTCAAATACTGCTGTGGAAGTTCAGAAACTGAGTAAAAAGTAAAGCGTTCCACTCTGAAGTCTTAGGATTTAGCCAAAGAAAATAGCAGAAAAGAAAAGAAAGTAGAAAGTTGGAAGAAAAGAACACTTTTTGTAGAAAACAAGTTTGACAGCTGAAAAGATTCACCAGTGCTCTATTATGTGAGATTCTGCATTTTATGAAAGTCACCCTAGCATAATCTGACAGCTGGTCAAAAGTCTATTAAAAAGGATTCAGTTCTCAGATTCAGCTCTCCTACTTTCAGAGACCCATCCTAAAGAATAGTACACACAAACATATGAAACTTCACAACATACTTAAAAATGAAAAGTAAGCTCCGGGAATTCGGTAGGGATGAATAAACACACGGTATAGAAGCCGGCAGGGGCACAACGGGACGCACCGTTAGTCCCAGCACATGGCGGCAGAGGCAGGCGTTTGAGGCCATCCTGGTCTACAAAGCGAACTCCAGGGCAGCCAGGGCTCTGTTACACAGAGAAACCCCGTCTCCAAAACCAAAAACCAAAACCAACCAACCAAACAAAACCATTGTATGTAGAATATTGCATACAATTAACATTAAAGAAATTGAACATGTGCTGTTTAGAATGTATTAAAAGAAAGTAAGTTTTAAACCCACATGAACCAAACAATAGAAGCTTACAAAGTAGATGTCTAAAAATTACCTTAAAAAAAAAAAAAATCAGCCAGGCAATGCGGCTCATGCTTCTAATACAAACACCGCAAGGCTTAGGGAGGAAGAAGAATGCCTGGAGTTTGAGGCTAGCTTGATCTACATAACAAGTTCCAGGACAGCCTGGGCTATGAACTAAAACCATCTGAAAAATCCAAAAGGGCTGGATTGATGGCTCAGTTGTTAAAGAACACTGTCTGCCCTTCCGGAGGACCTGGGTTCAGGTCCCAGCACCCATGGGGTGGCTTTCTATAACTCCAGTTCCAGGGGCTCCAATACTCTCTGGCCTCCTCAGACATCAAGCACAAGCACGGTACACACATGCAGGAAAGACACTCACACACACAAAATAAAAACTCAAATCTTAAAAAAAAGCATGGTTCACACATGCAGGAAAGACACTCATACACACAAAATTAAAAACTCAAATCTTAAAAAAAGGCACTATTTTGTGCATCTTAGATTTGTTTGTTTGTTTGTTTGTTTGTTTTTTCAAGACAGGGTTTCTCTATGTAGTTTTGGTGCCTGTCCTGGATCTCACTCTGTAGACCAGGCTGGCCTCGAACTCACAGAGATCCGCCTGGCTCTGCCTCCTGAGTGCTGGGATTGAAGGCGTGCACCACCACGGCCTGACTGCAACTTAGGTTTTAAAGTTACAACTTACTCAAAAACTAGAGATGCTATTTTGGGATTAATATCAACAAAATATGCTAAATATGTGAATGTTCTAATAAGAAATTTTGAAACCTAAAACATTTAAAATGTCTTTATTCCTCCATTCTTATTTCTGTGAATACCATGTCTGAAAACACTAGACTGGGACCTGATGACCTCACAGCCCACAAAAAGGTGGAAAGAGATAAAGAACCAAATCCATAAAATTATCCCCCCAAATACAAGAAACTACCATGGTCCTGAGCACTGGTAAATTCAATAATTTAGAGAAAATCTAGAAATAGATTTGTAATAGCCTCAGGTACTGCAGGTGACTGTTTCCAACAGTTCGGACACATTTTTCTCAAGAACTACTCTTTCTCTTTATACGTAACTGAATATGACCTTTCACCTTTATATGGTCTCATTCTTAATGGCTACTTAACCATAGTAGATTGGCTCAGGCCTTAGGGCAAATGTTACAGTACATTAAATTCACCGGCAGTATTGGAAGTTTCTTCTCCCTATTTATAAACCAAGCCCCATGTTTTACTAGGAAAGAAGCATTTATAGTCACAGGAATCTTCTCTTAGTGTGTGCACAAAACTTCAGGACTACGCAAAAGCAACTTACCTCCAGCAATTTTAAGAAAATCCTCCCCTGTTGCTTTGTAAACCTAAGAAAATAAAGAGATGTTAAAATCACTTCTAAACCAGCCATCACATGCTGACTGCAGTCAAGTGGAGAGGTCGAGGTGGCGGGCTGTGACACCTACCTCGATGTACCGGGTGCCCATGTGATGCTTGTGCCTCTGCAGCGCTAGGTCTCTGTGCTCCTCACTTACAAACCTGACCAGTGCCTCTCCATTCCTCCGCCCCTGAGCATTCAGACAAAGTGCTGCGCCTCCCCTTTGAAAGAAAGAGAGCAGATGGCAGGTGGGGAAAACAGCGAGGAGAAAGGACAGAAAACCCTGGACTCCTTCGGAGTCGAGCAAAACAAAGAAAACCAACTTGGCGATATTGAGTCCTTTGAAGAACCGCGCGATGTCTTGATCCGAAGACTGCCAGGGCAAACCTCGAGCCCTCACCACTGTGTTGTCGTCAATGAGTTCCATCTTGCTGCTGTGAAGGAAACACAACTTCATGTTGCCTCATCGACACAAGGCAAGCTGCGTGGCGACAGACGAGGCCTGAGCTTCATTTGGAGATCAGACTGACTGGCAGGCAACTCTGACTTCCTCTGTACCCTCAAAACTTGTCTGCAGACAGCGCAAAGAATTTGTTATGGCACTAGAGAAAGATGGCTGTGCATGTCCCGTCAGCTAGCTCATCCAGGAATCCATCTACCAGCTGAGAAGCTGCTTGCTTGCCATACATTCAGAAGCACCTCAGATCAGTTAACAGGAAGCAACTTCTCTCAGCACCCTTACCGCCCGACCTAGAAGGAAGGGTTCTTTGTCTTGGTTTTGTTGGTGTTTGGACACAGCACTTCAATAAATCACCCTGGCTGACCTTGAACTTGAGAACTTCCTACCTCAGCCTTCCACACACTGAGGTCCATCCGGGGTGGGGCTTCAGTTGTTTTTCACATGTATCGAGCACACATGTAGGAGTTAAATCCAGCTTGGCAGCAAGGATCAGAATAAAGCTACAATTAACCCACACTAGGCATGTGGTCAGAGGACTATTTAAGTGACTCCCTCAGTAAGCTGGAGGGCCAGGCAGCACAGGTGTTTATGGAAACACTTGGGAGTCTCCACACCTTAGTGAGTCACTTACAAATCACCCATTATTTTGATACCTTTTGATGGTCTGTCTTTTTCCTGTTCCTATTTTCAGTAATCCTAGGACATTTTCCTACTGAGTCACTTTCTCTAAACGAAATCAGCACTAAAGTCTCTCCACTGACGAAGCTGTCAAAGTTTCTATTCGTCACCAGGTGCCAGACAATCTTAGGACAGTGACTGACTACCATAACCAAGACACCTTTGATCATAGAGATACCACGCCAGGCTCCTCCCTCGATGTCCACTGTGATAAAGCAGATACTGATAGTATATATGTAACTTACCCCATGAATATAAGAACACCTTTAAAGATCCATTTGTTATTTATGTGTATGTATGTGTGCCTACATGAGTTTATGTGCACCACATGCACTGGAGTCACAGGCAGTTGTGAATTGCCTGGTGTGGACTCTTGGAACCACACCTGGGGTCCTCCACAAGAGCAGTAAGAACTCTTAACTAATGAACCATCATCATTCCAGTCCCTCCAGAACTTTCCCATCCTATGACTTTTCTTTATAAAGGGCAGACAGATATGAAGACTAAAGTAAGAATCACAAACAGAGCAGGTACCTAAGCCAATTAAAGTAAGTAAACACGCCAACACTTCACTAAATTTTTCTTTTTCTTTTTTTTTTTTTTGGTGGTTGTTTTTGAGACGGATGTAGTCCTGGCTGTCCTGGACCTCACTCTGTAGACCAGGCTGTCCTCAAACTCAGAAATCCACCTGCCTCTGCCTCTTGAGTGCTGGGATTAAAGGTGTACATCACAACCACTCAGCACAAAATTTTAACCCCAACCTACAAGCTTGCTTTAAGTAATAGATGACTTAACAATAAGAAATAGTAACTGGCAGGTTTAATAAAATTAGGGAAATCTATAAAGGGACTTAAATGTCATGAGCAAGAACAAATCAAAGGTTCAAATGAATAGAAGTACTTAAGCACTCACCAAGTGCCACTTTCAAATTTGTAGTTTACTCTCTCTGGATCTGAAAATCTGTGATCTAAAAATGAGAATATACAGTCATCATTCTGGCTACTAGACAGCAAAGATGTGCAAAACAATCAAAAGTAAGATTAAAGGGATCAAATCCCAGCACTACATAATCACTACAGTGATACTCACTGTAAGGCTCTGAGATCATTGCTAAAATTATGTTCCCCATGTCTTCCACCTGAGAGGCTCCGTATCGGGAGACAGAGTCATTCTTCTCAAAGTTGAGACCTGTGCGGCTAAGTTAAGGAAACACTGAGAGGTAAAGGCAGGAGTTAAACTTAAAAGGGAAGTTCTTTAGAAAGCTTAGCATGGCTGTTTCTGAGCAGCCAGGACTGCACCCAAAGTCCTGGTGTCTCCCTCTCTGTCCTCTTGCAGCAAGTGTCCAATTAACCCTATCCCAGGGCATTACCAGTAAGAAGTTTGGTTTACTTAGGAAATAGCAAATACATGAAAACTGTGCATTTAATGTCAAGTGATAAAACAGCTAATTAGAATCTTTTATCATTATACATACAAGGCAATGCCCAGGTAACCTAAAGATATGGTTGTCAGCCCAGAACAGGAGGAATAACTTTTACAATTCACACTTGAGAATACTAGTGACATCATTTCCATGCTTTTACTCAGAACTTCCCTTCCAGAATACTTTTAAGAGACCTCTGGGATATCATATCTTAATGGTAATACATAAGTATTATGTATTACTATTACTATTATCATTTTGAAATGCAAGTTCTTTCACAGCAAATCTGAGAAATAATTCAAGCACCTGGGATGAGCAATGTCACGTGTGTTTTGACATGGTGACCTCACTGTGCTGCCCAGGCTGGTCAGGACTCCAGGCCTCACTCAAGCAGCCTCAGTGTTGAGTGTAGTTACACGCCATGGCCAACCCTACCGCTCCCAGACTGTGTCAGCACACTTTCTGGGTAAACCAGGGCTTGTCTTCCACATTTTGTGTTATGGATAAATCACAACTGTTTTTAAATATTGAAGTATTTTTAAAATTTGTATTACATTTTAACTATTTGTGCTGTGGCATTCAGTGTGTGGTAGCTTGTACACTCCCCACGTGTGACCATGAGGACAGCTGGGAGGGGGATTCGACCCTTTTACCTTGTGGCTCCCAGGGACTGAACTCGGGTCTTACCTGCTGAGCCATCTCACTGGTCCAGAATACATTTCTAAAGATCTATTTACTTAATGTACACTGGTGCTTTGCCTATATATACTCTGTGTGAGGGAGTCTATTCCCCTGGAACTCGAGTTACAGACAGTTGTGAGCTGCCATGTGGGTGCTGGGAATTGAACCCAGTTCCTCTTGGAAGAGCAGCCATTGCTCTTAACTAGTGAGCCATGTCTCCAGTCCCAGACTACATTTTTAACAGGAATCAAAGACAATACCGTGAGAATGCACCTATTCCCTAGAATGAAGGGACATGTCTATGTTGTGCGGAGTAGAATGTTTCTTATTCCATACTGTTCCCTACCTGATATTTTTAAAAGCTTAAAAAGCATTTTTTAAAAAGAAGAGGGAAAAAGATACGATCCCTTATGGACTACTTAGGGAAACGTAGATTACAAAATTCAGAAACTCAGAGGCTAGTCAGTCAGTCAACCACAAGCACTTTTTCCCATCTCTTTAAAGTCATTCCCGCCCCTCAGCTTCCCCTCCACCCCTCAGCCCCCCACCCCCACCCCTCAGCCTCCCCTTTTCTCCGTAGGGACAGTTACCAGGCCATGCCTTAACCCACTAAACTCCAGCTTATCTGTAAGCTGTGATAGCCTCAGCCTCTGGGCTTTGTGTGAAGATGGAGATAAAAAGGCGCAAAGCTGGCATGCTCCCCTCCTTCAGACACCCCAATGCCTACTCTCAACCATGATGACCACATATACCCCTAAGACTGAAATAAACATGAAAATTCTCACAGGACGACCGTCAGTCTCAATGGTAGACAGCTTCGCCTCTACCCTTCCACCCTCTGGTGAGAAGATACCTATGTGTGAAGGACCAGAGTCAGTCCCAGGAGATGTTCAGGCAGATAACGTCAGTCTACTCTAAAGGCTATCATCTGCAGAAGCTACCCCTGCGTATTTATGAATCCAAAAGAAGAGAACACTAGGAAGGACAGCTGCCCTACGTTCTCAGGAAGAGTCAGGAAAGACTACTGGAATCTTTAAAGAATCAAGGAATGGAAACCAGCCCCACAGAATAAGTCTGGTGTCTCAGGCTCAGCACACGCTTCACCACATGTAGGCCATACAGTTCTTTGTTGGAAGGGCAGGGGTGGGGATGGGGGGGGGTCTGTATACTGTGTGACTGGCAGCATCTTGTCCTCTACCCTCCAGTTATGATATCTAAACACACACACACACACACACAGGCTATGCTAGTCAATTTTGTTTTTCAAGACAGGGTTTCTTTGTGTAGCCCTGGCTGTCCTGGAACTGACTCTGTAGACCAGGCTGGCCTTGAACTCAGAGATCCGCCTGCCTCTGTCTCCCGGGGGCTGGGATTAAACAAAAGCGTACGCCATCACTGCCTGGTCCTCTATTCAGTTTTTATTCATCATCTTTCTCTTCTATAATTGCACAAATGAGTTCCATAAAATACCCATCTCTCATCTTCTTTATTAGTTTAGCACAGAGGAACTGGCACCCAGCACGAAGCCTTCCTTAGCTGCTCCAGGCCACAGCCAGCAACTCTGTCATCTACTGTCCCCCGAGAAAACTGCTCTTCGATGGTTTTACACATTACCCGAGTATGGACCTCACCCGAATCTCGGTCACTCGTCCGTACATTTAGCACTCTGGAGCGGCACTATAGCTATGTCAGGGAAATGATGAAACGGTAGATGCTTCTACAGAGCTCACAGCTACAATTTGCTGTAGCCTAGAGTCCAGGGTGCTGAAGGTCAGGGTGCCGAGTTCCTTCCCAAGGTCTGCTGCGGACTACAGATGCTGGCACCCCAGGTACTTCTGGACAAAGCTGTGGGCTGTCAACAGGCTGGGGTAGGCCATCAATGACCCTCACCACACACCCACTTTCCCCATGTACACAGAGGCCCCCTGACAAAACATGGATCTACATTTTTTTGTTTCACACACAGGTTTGACATTTCCATTTTGTTTTGTTCTGTTTGTTTGAGACAAGTCTCACGGTATGGTTCTGGCTGCTCTGGACCGTGCCAGTAGACCATGCTAGCCTTGAACTCTTGATGCCTCTGCTTCCCGAGTACTGGGATTAAAAAGACATAAGCCACCGTGTCCACTAGGTTTGACATTTTCTAATCCTACTTCTAGTGATTTTAGTCTTCCTTTTCATATTATGATTAAGCAAATCAAATATCTACCTATAAATAATTCTATAGAAGCCGGGTGTTGAGACCAGCCTGGTCTACACAGCAAGTTCCAGAACAGCCAGGACTACATGGAGACCCTGTCTTGGAAAAAAAAAAATCTCTAGATACATGACATATCAAATCATAATAGAATTGTTTACAGGATTCCCACCAAAATATACATACCCACATGATATGCACACGTATGTACATATTTACACAGGTATAAATAAAGGCATTTAAAACACCATTTGTGCCATCATCCCCTTCCTTCACTTTTCACAGCATTCCATCACCAGGTAGGGAAACAACACCCACAAAATGAAGAACTAGGATTTAGAGATGTTCCCCAACTCAGTTTCTCCACAGTAGGTAACAGGACTGGATCGTAATACAGCCACACTTTGCTGTACACACGTCCCTGCTCTAGGCTAAAAAGTTTGTTTAATTTGTTTACTTTGAACAATACTTTGAGAAAAATAATTAAATTTATAGGAATAAGTCAAGGAGAGAGATCAAAAGTAAAAATGCAAAGTCTCCTTTCTGTGTTGAAATAGATTTGTAGCTAAAGAATCACTTTACTAAATTCTCATTTTTAATTAAGACTATGTCAGGCTGTAGAGACGGCTCAGTGGTTAAGAATACATAGTGCTCTTCATGAGGACCTGAGTTCGAATCCCAGCACCCACCCACGCCAGGTGTCTTCCTGTTGTTACGACTCCTCATATCTCTGACCTCTGTAGGCACTTGCGTTCATGTGCACATACCTCCCACACACATATACATAATTAAAATAACAAAAATAAATCTTTAAAAAAAAAGAATGTCACTGGCCTTTGGCTAATATGTTTCTATATAATATATCCCACCATATTTTCCTTGTGCCACCAGAGACCAGCAGCAAAAAGTCATAAAACTTTTACAAGTCACTGGACCGGCTAATGCCCAAATCACCTCTTTACACATGTGTGTGCACACATACACACCGCTTAAATCTGCTCAATCCATTTCCTTACCAGAACTGAAACACAAACAATAAAGGGGAGGTCTTTCTGTCTTGTCTTTTGTACATGCTAGGAAATGTACTGCTGGCGAGTTACATGCCTGGCCCTGGGCGGGTTTATTTATTTTTTGATGATTGGTTTTTATTTTTTACATGCACTGGTGTTTTGCTTACATGTGTGTCTGTGTGAGGGTGTCAGCTCCCCTGGAACTGGAGTTACAGATGGTTGTGAGCTGCCATGTGGGTGCTGGGAATTGAATCTGGGTCGTCTGGAAGAGCAGCCAGGGCTCTTAACCGATGAACCATCTCTCTAGCTTTGGGATTGTTTCTAATGTTTTAGCAATAATACTTTCTTCCATCAAAGCCTATTATATTTTGAATTATTGCTTCACATCTGATCTCGGGAGAAGGAGAGATGAGCCTGTGCCTCCTAATTTCCTGCAGAACTAGTCCCATCAGTTACTCACGGAGCCCTCAGGCAGCCGCCACAGCACAGACAGGCTCAGCCAGCTTTACAACCAGAAATGCCACGAGGGGATAAAGAGTCCAGCCTAGGACAGTGGGAACAAAACCCTACCTCTCAAGCTGTACTGAACAAGGTCTATCCACAGAAGGTGAGGCTGTCCCAGCAGCAGGAGCCTTCCTTTATCACCTTTGGTGAAATGGGCCAAGGGTCTAGTCCATCAAGACATCTATACCAGCTTAATAAACTCACAATGTCTTTCCTGACTGCCAGGAAACGACACACTTGCAGTGCATTTACTTTCCACATGTAAACAACTTTCTCAAACTACTTCTTTAGTTTATATCTAAGACAATCACACATAAAACAGCATACGTTTCAAATCTCAGAATCACATCCCAGTAGAAATTCTGTATCAAAG